CAAATAAGGGCATGGGAAGGCACATGGGGAGCAGGACACACACAAAACATGGAACAGAGTCTGACAGCACTGACGTTAAGTTAAATCTCTTGCTATTTTAATGTGATATTACGCAACTGGTTTAGTTTATTATATAAACTATATAAACTATTATTATATTATTCAAATCAAAAATGATTCAGACACCTTCAACATTTCACACATTATCACAGTTTATTCGCTATAGTTTATAAAATGGTAATAAAATATGACAAGAAGATATATATATATAAATATATTTTGTTTGTTTGTTTGTTTGTTGGTTTGTTTGTTTGTAGTTTATTTGATAGGGACATTGTACAAGTGCACCAAATCCTTCTGCAACTTTGGTGTTCAACATATTGTTTCAGAAATGCAAACAATTAAAGATTGAAATTTAAACTTCATTTGGTTGGTTTAATGCTGTTTAAGTTAGCTTTAAAAAAAAGAAAAGAAATATGACTGTTTGTAGAAGGAAATTTGATTATTAAATTAGTTTTTAAAAGAGGTAAATTATCTTTAAAATTTCACATGGGTTTGAAATGTGACCATTCAGTCAGATGGTCAGTTTACACCCAGATGGTGCATCTTACCCACTGACTCGGGTTAACTTACTGCTAACCAGGGTCAAATTGAGCCACAGGAACACTTTTTTTTTACAAGAAGCTATATTTATAGAACCCTTTGTCATAGATACATTCTGATAATTTAAAATGATAGGAAACATCTTGAAATTACTTTAGATACTTTCAATATACTTTTGCCTCATTTTCCCTTATATTGAGGACCACATAAGTTAAAAAAAAAACAGCTCATCTTACCCCACTCTCCACTATACTGATGGATATTAATAAAAAATATTTTTTATGCATAGTTTCATTTAGCACTATATGAGAGTCATGCTGTGCCTGTGCCTATGTAGAACATTCCACATTGACCACTTTTAAGATTCCATGATGGAAGACAGACAGCTCAGTTTACTCACTATGTTGCTAACATCAGGGGAAGCTCCATTCTGCAGTAGTAAAAGAACAATGTTGAGGTGACCCATGAAGGCTGCCACATGGATCGGTGTGAGACCAGACTAGAGAGAGAGAGAGAGAGAGAGAGATGACAACAACAACATCAGCCTGATTATCTAAATCAAATAAATTAACACACTTAATCTACTAATTGTTTCTACCAAATAAGCACATATTTTTATTACATTAATTATACAGTATATATTTGTTGTCAGACTCTGTTCCATGTTTTGTCTGTGTCTTGCTCCCCAGGTGTTCCTTTCCCATGTTTAATTTGTCCCAAGTGTTCCCCATGATGGTTCATTGATCCCAGGTGTGTCTCGTCATCCCCTCCTCCTGTGTGTATTTAAAGTGTTCCCAGTCCCTAGTTCTCTGTCCGCTGAGTTCTCTGTCCGCTGTGAACGTCTTCCTGTGTTCGTCTCCCTTGGTTCCTTGGTGCAAATAAAGTCTTGTCAACATGTTCTCCAGCGTCTCCTCGTTCCTCGTGTGTGTGCAACGTGACATTTGTATTGTGATTATACTGATATATAGTATAGATCAATAAAATGAATAGACCCAAACCAGATCTATCATGTTTTTCTATGCTGATTGTGCAGGGAAAAACAAAAGTTTTATTACTAACTTTATTAAATTAGTCAGAATATTTAATAAAAATAAAAATAAAATAAGCACGCAACTCTGGAGGATTAGCAAAACTTTGCATTTGAATTCTGTGGGAACCATCTCGGTTATACTATATACCCTTGTTCCCTGAGTAGGGATGAGAAGCTGCATCAGTAGTTGACACTATGGGAACATTTGGTCAGTCATAAAACAGTGATTTTGTCCAAATTTGACATGATGCATGACGACATGTCCCATGACGACACATCTGGCAGAAGTCTCTATGCTGGCAAAGCGCCAAAATGAGGTGATACGATCACCTGAGAATGTGCTGGAGGGAGAGAGCCTACAATGTCAGTGTCATGAGTGGTATAACATTTTTTGAACGGGACCCTGAGCCCAGCATGAACTATCAGGGCACTGCTTGACAGAAACACTGAAACACATTTGAGAAGAGGCACAACTCCTGGGGGAGGGGGGCTTGTGGGGGTTGCCCTCTTTTTCCTCATCAACAGGTCAGAGATGATTTTCTTGAACCAAAGGCCCAGAAGACTTAACAGCCAGGTCAATGCCCAATGTGTGGTTGCTGGTATGCCATCAGGTGAGGACATACACCCCAGCCTTTCGGAGGGGGAGGGCAGACAATTTCACAACTTTTCTGCTCCTCTTTATGACACTAGAGAAAACCACAAGAACGACCTAGCAAACTCGAGCCTCTAAGGGAATGAACTGCTTGAAAGTAGCTGAGTGCTGCTTTGCCATGTGGAAGTTTTTGAAGACAGCACTCACCACATTGCAAAAAAGCACAGAGATGCCGGACAGGGGTGTTGAGCAAAAAGTTATTTTCCTTCTTTCTAATCTCTGTGAGATTGAACCACAAGATGCCTCTTTGTCGCAAACAAACCTGCCATGGAGAGACTGATTGTAACAAATCATATGATTTGTGACTCGAAGCACCAGATCAGCTGCACACCGGAGCTGTTTGACCGCCTCAGGGGTCGGACCAGCCCCTTTGACCATATCCTTAAGGACGTCCGCTTAGTATGCCTGTAGTACCACCATGGCCAGCAGCCATATAGGACTTGCCAATCAGGACAAACATTGTCCTACAAGGATTAGATGGAAAGGTAGGTTTTGTTTTCCAAGATTGGACCAACGATGGTGAGATATATGCCACCAGCATCTCTTCAAACTTTTAAATATCCATTTACCCTTGCTCCACTAAACCCATGATGGTGGTAAATTCAGAAGTAGCCGGATTAGTGATACAAATCACTTCGATGTTCTCGATAACTCATTATGGAAATCGTCTCAGGTTACTTATGTAACCATGGTTCCCTGAGTAGGGAACGAGACACTGCGTACT